AATTAACCGTTGCAAGACACTCATACTAGCATGTCCTAGTCTCCTATGCCATAACCAACTATCATGCTCATCCTTAGCAACTAGGCATAAATTAGTCATATCTATAGAGTCTAAATGCACCATGTAAATGTTTCATATTCTATGACCAACAAGCATAATAAAAATAGATGCAATGTCAATCAATTTTGCAAACACTTAATTTAAAAATAAGACATTGTATCTTTTGTCAAATTTATCTAATTGGATTATGCTTTAATCCATTCACATACAAAACATTATGCAATGTTGATTATCGAGATTAAAAAAAAACATGCATAAAGTTTTTGAAAATGTTATGCATTAAAACTTTATAAAATAAAAATATATATGCATAAACATTAAGAAAAATTTAAGGTCAAAATTTTGTAAAACCAAAGTTCTTGAAAAATCGATATAAATTGTTAAAGAGATTTCAATTACATTTTAAAAACCAATTTTGACCCAAAAAAAATTAATATGATGAACTAGAGTTTATAAAACATTACCAAAAATTACTATGTTCATCATACAATATTTTTCAACATACATGAGATAAAACATAATCATTTAGAATTATTCAACATTTAAAACCTCATGCATGCATAAACAAAATGAGCAACCAAATAAAATAAAAACATTCAGTTTAGAGGTTACCCATTCATTTTTCATGTGTGGCTAGAGCATCTTGAATATCATCATCTTCATCACCATTGCTCCCCACACACCTACAAGAGACATTTAAGTAGATTTTGGTATCCAAATTGCTTTGGATCCTTTAACATTAGTTTCAATACCTCTTGTTCCTTTTGGAACCCATATTTGTCTAATTTTAAATCGTTTTCCTTTCTTTAAAGGACAAGTATATTCCTTATGACCATGATAATGACAATGTGAACATATTGTCATTATTGAACTAGATGAATTATTTAAAATGATCTCTTTTTCTTTTGTTAAGCATTCAAGCTTAACTTTCAAATCGAATTTTCATTTTCAATACTTTCAAATTTCATTTTCAATACTTTCAAATTTCATTTTTTGAGAGCTCTAAATCCTTCTTCAAGATTTCATTTTGATTTTCAAAATCCATTTTTGTTTCTAGAAGAAGTTTGTTTAATTTGAAAATTTCTTTTTCAAAGTTTTCAGATTTTATTTTTGAAAGCTCTAACTCCTTTCTCAACATTTCATTTTGATTTTCCAAGTCTGTTTTAGCTTTCAAAAGAATATCATTTTTAGCAATAAATTTAGAAATCAGATTTTTATATTTGGAGTTCATGGTCTCAAACTCCGAAAATAATTCATCATAAGCATCTTGTAACTCATTAAAAGATTTTGAATTTAATCTATTTGAGTTAGAAGATACCTTTGGCTCTGTGAGAGCTAATAGAGACATCATCTTTATTGGTTCTTCTTCTTCCTTGTCTCTATAGATCTCCTCAAGCTTATCTCATATCTCCTTGGCATTTGAATAAGAAGAAACTCCTTTATATACATTAGGATCAATTGCACAACACAACATGTGCATAGCCTTTGTATTTTGTTGAGCTTTCTTCCTTTCTTGATCACTCTACTTCTTTGCCTTCTTTGTAGGAGAAGAATATCCTTTCTCGATCATCATCTAAGCTTCCATATCAAATGCTTGGATAAATATCATCATAAGCTTTTTCCAACGACGATAATCTGTTCCATTAAAGTGTGGAGGCACGTCAATTGGTCTGGATTCTTCCATGGAGAATGAACCGGAAGTGGACGCCATCTTTATCGATTTAACTCTTCTCGGATCTACTCAAGAGGCAGTTAAACCTTCAAATGAGTCAAGCTCTGATACCAATTGTTGAGTTAATCGATTGATGGAAATGACCAAGAGGGGGTGAATTGGCAATTAAAATTTGGGTGGAAGTTTTTTCAGAAAATTGAAAATATTTGCACAACGATTTAGAGTGTGTTTGACTTTCTCAACCAAAGTCTACGTCCACTACCTTAGCTATCCATACTAAGGATTTTCCAACAAATTCACTAATTTTTTCTTTCTTTTGAGGACAAAGAGTAACCTTACAACTCTCTCAAGAATTATACCCAAATTCTTGAGCACACTCTTTTTCAAAGAGGAATACACAAATTTGCAAACTTACAATGAAAACCTCACAAGGTAAGATGTTTGCATAATTCTAGAACAAGAAAAGAACACTAAAAAATAATTACAAATCAGCACAAATGGTGTTCTTGAAAGCAAAATGAATATTGAAAGGAAAATTGGCTTGATTTGCACAAACTTGGTGTTTGATGCGTTCTCTCTTGTTTCTCTATATTTCTTGTTGATCAAAGGCTTCAGAATTTATTTAAATACTCCCTCAATTGATTCTGAACGTTGGGGATGATTAGTGGAGTCAATGGAGCCGTTTAAGTGTGAAAACCATTAATAAAACAGCTTAGAGCGTGGGAGGAATCGGTACCCCTCATGGGGAATCGGTTCCCTAAGTGTAAAATTCAAATATTTTGATCGTTAAAACAGGGGGAATCGGTACCCCTTGGGGGGAATCGGTTCCCTCCAAGCATTCTGTTTTTCTCGGAGCCAAACCATTCAGGGGGAATCGGTACCCCCTTGGGGGGAATCGGTTCCCTCTGGAAATTCTGGAATTTTTGGCTTTGAAACGGTTCGAAATACTTTGTAAAATTATTTTGAAATAATTTTAAGATTAAAACTTAATTTTACACTTGAGTAAGGATTAAAAATGACTTTTGAAAGATTTGGAGTAATATTTTGATATTCGAATAATTATATCGAATATACTTAGAAAATCATTTTGGAAAATATTAAAATTCATTTATCTTAATTTGTTATATCGAAATATCAAAATGTTTTCAACAACATAGTTATAAGTACATACAATAATTGATTCTTAAATCAGCTATATAAAGGGTTATGGTCCCCGAGAAATATATCATCTCGTATTTTCTCTTATCCCGTCGGAGAGTTTATACTCAAGAGAATTCTATCTTCTTAGAAGATCACAACAAAGATAATATTCAAGATCTCCAACATTGGATTCAGGTACGCTTCCTCAAATCTAGTTTATTTTATTCTTGATAATCTGACATAATTAGATTTTGATTAGTTTTCATATTTATTATTGTTTGGTTCTAACATTGTTTTCATCAATGAACAAAATCTACAACAATTTCTTTTCTAAAAGTGTATGCACCACTAATTTCAAGGTTACTTTTTGTTATATTTTATCACGAACATTACTTATCTTTTTGCTGCACTTCCGAACTTATCTTGCAGGATTCCTTATAGGTGATATCAAAACTTGTGGAGAGTGGAATTTCCATCCCAGTACGTTTAACTCAAGTCTTAAAGAACTATGTATCTGTGTTTTGTTACATGACAGTGCAAGTTTTGGCCATTGGGTCTTGTGGGAAAACAATCATATTTCTTTGATCAGTTGGTTCATCCTTCCTACCAGTAAACCTGGTCTTGCTCGAAAGTCTTAGCTCATCAACAGTTGAATTTGGTTATTTTTACTGGGCTGTCTATGAGTTCAGTGGGCTATATAAACATGAATGTGTCTGCTTTATGTGAGCATGTGTTTCATCATTGAGATTGAACATTTATTAATACATTAACCTTTTCCATTTTTGTTTCTTTGTTTTATGAATTTCATTTTCTAATAAACTTCCAGGACAGTCCATTAGTGATAGAGCAATTTAAATTCAACTTGAATGGAAGCAATAACAGCTGTAGGGTGAGTAGTTGCTGGCACAAATCTATTTTCAGTGCATTGTATGCTCCTATCTTTCTCTTTGTGGCCCTATATGAACCAGTTATCATTGTCACTTAGGTTGAAGGAATCCGAGGAATTATGATGGCCTATACCAATGCCCTTTTCGATTTTTCTCTCTAGGATGAGGTCGTAACTGATCTCCCAGAAACCAAAGATTTGCTGGTAAAAGCATCTGCTGTCGATCCTCATTGTTGGAGTTGAAGGAGCAGACTTGAAAGAAATGGAAGTACTTACACTACTTAAAGCCTTTTATATCTTTTTTTTTTAAATAGGAAGTTCATTAAATTCCAATAGCATCCATAGTTACTACAGACTTAATGCATTCGGGTTCATCATACTAAAACCGAAACGGATTAGGTCTCGACATAACCCATTGTGCCAGGAAATGAGCAACTCGATTTGTTTCACGTTTGATGCAAAACACTTTAAGGTCTCGATTCCTGGTCAGAATATCATGTGCTTCGTTGAGCAACAATCCGATGATTGAAACGTCTTCACTTTGATTGGAAAGACTGTTCACCATGAAAATCGCATCGCCTTCAATAATTGTGTCCATTCATCCATTCTCAGTTGCGAATTTAAGCCTTTATGTGAAGGTTGCCACTTCTATGGATTCCGCTGTGAAGAGATGGTCAATTTGGCGGCACATGCCCCTAAGAACAATCCCGTTGTGATCTCTGGCGACGACTCCCATTGCAGTTGTGATTTTTGTTATGCTAAAAGCCCTATCGATATTAATTTTTATAGTATTTGGCTTAGGGCAACTCCAATTGAGCGACCTTATCGAACCTTGATGGGGAGTGGTAAAGCTTTCGCATGAATTAGCTTCAACGAATTCTTCACATAGCCCCCCATGCGACGGCTACCACTTCCATATCATCTTGCGTCTCTTCATCATGCAACGATTTGTTCCTTCGATTCCACACGCACGATGAGCGTGGAGTGTCCATCCATTCAAGGGAGAAGGGTTGCTTATTATAATCGATAAATAGAATAACTCAATTATGACTTTTTGAAATACAATGATCAATTATATATTTTGTCATAATACAATGATCTGTGGTGTAATTTACACTCTTAATTATTACTACAAGGTAGAGAATAACCGAATAATTGAAAAAGCAAATCTGAGAAAAATTCGGTCCCTACCCTTCCGCCAGCTAAAGAGGGACACGCGGCACTCCACCACCTCACTCTCTCCACCACCACACTCTCTCCAACTTTCTTTCCTCTTCACTCTCTTTCTCTCCATCCAAACGCCCAAGCTCCTCCTTTTATCAACTATCAATCTTCCAGGGAAAAAGAAAAAATTAAACATGGAGGATATACAGCCGTTAGACGCTCAGTTAAACGGCGTCGTAGCTCCTCTCGCGGTGACTTCGTCGGAGACCGTTGCAGTTGGTCCAAAACGCCAGAGACGTCCCAGCGTCCGTTTAGGCGATATCGGCGGAGACCTATCCTACGATTCTCTTGCCCGAAGACCCTCCTCCTCTTCCGCCGCCACCAAGCAATGGAAACACCTCTCAGCCGCCGCCGCCGGTACGAAATCATCCAAGACTCGCGTCCTCACCAATCTCACCACTGACTTCAGTGAACCCCTCGATGATGAAACAGAAGCTAACAACAATAACAGGAATTTAGATGGTGCTGCAATCGGTAGCTGGAGAGTCAAAGATTTCAACAAGCGGAGCTACGCCACTAAACGGGTCCGCTCGAATTGGGTCCCCCAAACCAACGACTCCGACGGTGGAAACATCAACGCCAACGGTAGCAATAACAACACTAACATCAATAATTTGGAAACAGAAGAAGATAACGATGATTTCGACATGGACAACTCGGAAAGTCCCATGAAAGAGCATAGTCCAGTTCATTCTTTGGATAACTTGGGTGGCCATGGCAATGAAAGGGAAGTCATTTTTCATGGGAGGTGTGAGGAAGATGCGGTTAGGATATGGTTGAATAGTTTGGGTTTAGGAAGGTATGCCCCGGTTTTCGAGATCCATGAAGTGGATGATCAGGTTCTGCCACTGTTGACATTGGAAGATTTGAAAGATATGGGGATAAATGCAGTTGGTTCAAGAAGGAAAATGTTTTGTGCAATCCAGAAGCTTGGTGAAGGCTTTTCCTAACATATTTTAAAATGAGCTTTAGTGTTTTTGAAAGGAGAAGCCATGGCAATGTAAGAGCTTAAGCCTTATGTTTTACCCTTCTTTTCTTTTTGTTGTAGAAAACTAGGAGAATCAAATCAGTAGGGGTTTTTTGTTTGCAATGTAAGAGCTTTTGTTAAGGTAGTGCTAAGCTAACTATTGTAGAGAACTTCAATGGGAGAATATAAGCTTTTATTTTGGTTAAAGTGATTTACAAAATAAGACAGTTTTAACCATATTCTTATGGTTTTCTTATTTTTCTTGGTTATCGATGGAATATGTTTTTGCAATTAGGTACTATAGAAGTTATCTATATGCTGATTATCGTGGCGTATCCTTAAAGGAATGAATGAAGCTCAAGCAATCACTCAAGAAGTGTTTGTTTCCTATGGTTGTTTATGATTGTCTTTGACTCTTTGAGTATCCTTAAAGGAATGAATGAAGCAATCGCTCAAGAGGACAGTTTCAACCATATATAATTCTCTCATTGTCATGTAGAACTATGGTGCTTTTGATAAGGTAATGTTGAGGAGACAATGAGAGAATTTCAGCCCTTTCATTCTTCTTAATTATGAAATTGAATCTGTCTTTGCAAGTAGATACTGGAGAGGTAATTTCTTCAGTGATTGGAATGATGGCGTATTGTACCGAAGGAATGAAGCAAACACTCGAGAAATGTTTGTTGACTCTGATTGCTTTTTGTTGTGTTTACAGTCGGACTAATTGGTTATATTATTTCTGCACTCCTTCCGGCATGATAATTATATATATATGTTATGTTCAATCTCAAGTACTTGCAATGTCCAATACAGGTATGTTCAATTTTCTTTCAAGTTTTTCTATATATTTGGAGAATCATATCCCTAAATGTGTCCGGATATGTGCTGCATACGGTTGTTTTAGGTAAAATAAAGAGTCAGAGCGACAGAGACCTAGTAATGTAGAACTTCCCTTATGTAAATTATGTTTTAGGATCAAAAACATGTCTGATTTTTTTTTTTTTTTGCCTTAATTGCATCATGGTAATGTACTTTTTTAGTTAGCAAATAAACTACACTGCTACTCACCTTAAGCATAGTTCCGATTATTTTAACATTCTTGTATGTTATGGTTTTATCATTCACTACCTTGTGTTAAATACCTGCCTAATATTCCATGAGACATTATAGCTTTCTATAGCCTAAAGTTATGTTAAGATTCGCTGGTTTAACCTTTATGTATGGTACTTGGGTTTTTCATTTCAATTCAATCCGATTACGATTAAGATCCAATGACTGTAGTCTGTCCAAACAATCAACATGCGTTCTCATTGAAACAAAGGTGACGCCACACATCAACATTCCCTCCATTGTTCATTGACATCACAGGCTGTGGAGTTCCTTACTAATTGCAGATAGATAGTTGTGTACTTGAAGTTTTTGAGATTGAGTTGGGAAGACTTTTGGTAAAATCGTGGTTTGGATTTAGGCAAGTAATCCTTGGCGCAGGCCGTGGTTCCCGTGCTCCTTCATTTACATGATTTGATCTGTTTAGAAATGAAAGATAAGAAGGTTGTCGCCACTTGGAGGGTATCATCAGTGGAATCGAGTAAACATGTATTGATCGCCCAAGGGCTGTTGCTTTTGAACCATCTGCTTCGTGTTCTTGAATCGGGAAGCGGTTTTGCCAAGGAAAAAGCGTTCATTGCTCTGCAAGCTTTAAGTTTTTCAAAAGAAAAAGCTAGAGCAATCGGTTCCAGAGGTGGGATTTCCTCACTTTTAAAGATTTTCGCCAAGCTGGTACACCCGGTTTCCAAGCTTTAGCAGCAGGAGTTTTGAAAATTGTAGCTTCTTTTGATGATATTAAAGAGAATTTTGTGGAAGAAAGGGCTTTTGCTGCTTCTGGGACTGCGTTAGAACAAGAAAATTCGATTGGTTGTTTATGTAATTTGGTTTGTGATGATGAAAATTTGTATCTTTTGCTTTTCAAGGAAGGAGGAATTGAATATGCTTGCCTTGGATTGGTTTTTTGTGAACTTTCTGCTTATGTTGGATGCTTGGAAATCTATGGTTTTCTTTTTCACAATTTTCTTTTTAACTTTACAGTGGGATTGTTTGCAGATGGCCAGGTCCTAACTGAATCAAGTTATATTATATTGAAGGTTTAATATCCAATTAAGTGTCCAAATTATATAATTTTTCCCGAATAGGTGCTTACAGTATTTTTTGGACCATTCATATGTCTAACGTTACAAACGTTGTCACTTTAGGTGCCCGGGTCGTCAGCAGCGTTAATTTCTTCTGTTAAGTGGCACGTGTCACAATCTAATAATTTTAAAAACTTTATATAAAATTAAAAAAATAAAATTATGTATATTTTAAATATATATATATAAATTTTGAAATAATCCTAAAACTTTAAAAACATTCATTTCAACCCCTAACCCCACGTCAACCGCCATCATTTGTCGATGACGAAGATCCACCCGACCTCACTTCCCCTGACAACCAAAACCCCTATAAAATCGTGACCAATTGATGGTCGATCGACGACGGACGTAGGATGAAAATTACGATCCCACACGATTTTGACGGCTAATCGACGACAACTACGGCGGCATATAACTTGGATAATGGCAGGTACTACGGTCGGAGGTGGAGGTCATGGTTGGAAAGGACTCCGACGATGGGTTAGTGTTAGGATTTGGGGATTTTAAGGTTTTTTTTATAATTTAAACGTATAATGCCTAAATTTTGTCTCGAAAAATGTTTTAGTGCTTAAAGAAATTTTAGTTAAAAATAAGAGTCTAACGTTTTCATCAGAGATTTTTAGGTGCTTGGACCATAACGGTTGTTAAATTTGATAGTTAACTTACACGTGTCACGTTATGGTAATTTTGAGAATTTATTTAAAAATTTAAAAATATTTTTTATTAAAAAAACCCACAGCAGCCCTGCGTCCCTTTCTCCTTTCATTGGTCGCCTGTCGGCTGTCTGTGATCGTCACCAGAATCGACACCGATGTCAACCCCTGACCAAACCCCCGTTGGTCATTCGTCATGAAGTGCCACAGTTTGTCGTAGAAAAACATTCAAAGATTCATCAGATTTAAGCCACCGTCAATGTTTTTCATCGATTTCGGCTGATCCCGACATCCATAAGTCACACCGCCACCACCATTCGAACCACCGTGCAATTCCGATCAAAACCCAAGTGTTCAGCGACAATGGTGGTCAGAAATTACCGGCGACTGTTGGTAATGGGGTTGAAATGAGATATTTTAGTTTTTTAGAGTTTTTTTTATAATTTCATTGAAAGTTTGGGGTTTTTATAAATAAACTGAGGTTTTTTAGTTTTTTAAAATAATATTTTTATTATTAAAAAAATATATAATGGTAGGCACCTAGAAAAGTAAATGAGAATACATTAAACACTTACTTCTAGCAAAAATTTCTTTAAGCACCAAAAAAATTTTCGAGGCATTATTTATGCACTTATTTTTGTATTAAGCATAATTTAAAAGAAATTAGAGTTTTTTTTTATAAATATAATAATATTTTTAATATTTAAAAAAAATAGATTTCAAAATTATCATATTATGACACGTGTCACTTAAAGAAAAAACTAACTACTGTTACGTCCTGGATACCTAAAGTGGTGAAATTTACAATGTTGAACACCTGGATGGTCCAAAAATATATCGTAAACACCTATTCATATATATATATATATATATATATATATATATATATATATATATATATATATATATATATATATATATATATATATATATATATATATATAGTTTATACACTTATTCAAGTATTAAACATATATTGAACCTTCATCGAAGGGATGTATCACTAGAAGAGCATCAAGTATACAATACAAATACGTAACATTTATTGATATAATTACATATGAAATATGTTATCTAAGTACATACAACTCGTCAAAATATAGAAAGTAGAAATCCGAATTATCAAAATTTACTCCTAACTCATCTTCTCCCACACAAAATATAGTAATAAAAGCTATCTAATTCCTAAACTTGGCAGCGGAGGTGATGGTAAGCACCAGCAAGCAAATCATTGCAACATACGACAGTATCAATGAAGTGCTCACCTGCCTGCAGTATTTCTCGAAACGATTACATACTTTAAGCCAACCCGTCTTGCTGTTTCCGTCTCGGCCTACCGCTCCGATCACCGTCCCGGCCACCACACCAGATAGCACCAAAGACATCATCAACTGCCAGAATATCATCAATTCAATATCAACCCAAAACACTGTGATTATATTCGTATTAAAACCAGCATAACATACCAGATCGTGTAGGAAGAACATGAAGTAGACAGAAGCAGTAAATCCATGGCGAGAAAACAACATAACCATCACCAAGGAGAGGAAAGTGAAACCACAAGCAATGGCATTTGCGAAGGCGAAGAACCTGCATACATATGGAGGATCATGAGCTCTAAAATTTTCCCGGGGGAAGTCGATTTAAAACTTAGATATCTGGAGTTGTTTACTTGAAAGCAGGAGAATAAGTATATTTAGCATCAAATGACATTCCCATAACATCAACAGTTTGCTTTGCATTGAATATCACACATGCGGCGGCCAATGCGGTCCCGCTCGCCGCAGTTCTGAAGAGGATTTGTGCAGCAAACATAAGTCTGTTTTGGGACATGGGGCTTTAGTGGTTTCCATTAGTGGGATTGAAGAACAAGTGCAAAGGAGCTGAGGGATATCAAGTGTTATTTATAGAAGAAAAATAGTGAAGTTTAGATATATCAAATTGAAGTGATTAAAGCAATGTAAGGTCCAAAACGAAACGTGAAGATACTAATTTTTTTTTTTACCCATTTTGATTTATTTATTTATTATTATTATCATTATTATTAGTATTATTATTATAAATATTACTATTATTATTATTATTATTATTAAATATATATATATATTAATAATTACAAGCCCAAATTGAAGGCCCAATACAGTGGCCCGGATCCAAAAGCCCACAGTAAACCCTAAACCTAATTTAGGGTTTGTATCATCCCAACAGCCGCCTCAACTCACAGACGTTGGATCTGTCTTTGATCCAACGGCTCAGATGGTTCCAGCAAAGGAAGCCTTAGGGTTTCCTAACCCTAGGGCCACGCGGCCGCCGCAGCTGCTCCCGCCATCTCCACCGCTGCCACGTCTCACCGAAGGCTCCAGAAGGTCGGCCGTAGCCGCACAC